TATCTATTGAGTGATCCTGTCTGTTGGAAGTCTCCAATACAGCAAACCACAGGTTTCTGAGTGCTATCAAACTGGGGAGAAATGGAGTGGCTGCTTATAGTTATATGAGTTTTCTTTTTGGGATGATAAAAAATATTTTAAGATCAGCTGGGTACTGGTGGCACATGCCTGTAATCCTAGCTACTTGGGAGGCTGAGATCAGGAGGATCAAGGTTCAAGGCCAGCCTAGGAAAATAGCTCACTAGACCCCACCTCCAAAATAACCAGAGCAAAATGGACTGGAGGCATGGCTCAAGTGGTAGAGCACCTACTTTACAAGCATGAAGCCCTGAGTTCAAACCCCAGTCCCAATACAAACAACAAAAAATGTTTAAGATCAATTGTGGTGATTGTTGTGATGGAGTGCTGAGGCATAGGCCTCAGCTATAGCACTGGTTTCAGAGGCCTCAACTTTCCTATCTATGTAATGGGTGTGTTGGTGGATGGCGATTGTGATGAGAAAGATGGAGTAGATGCACTAATCAAGGTTTCTGCACATGTTAAACACCCATTGGGAACAGAATCGTAACACAATGCATAATGAAGATCAAATTTGCAGTGTCTGCAGGGCTTATAAATTTATGAAGTGTCACCCTGATAATGATGACTGAATGCCACTTGAGCATTTATGCATGGATACTAAAACCCATTCTTCTGGAGAAAACTGTCAATTTAGAGAATGTGAAACAGATAGAAAGCAACAAATACATTAAAAGAGATGGAAAGGTCAGAAAAGCAAGACGGAGAGAGAAAGGAGAGTTGTACTCTTACCTCCCAGCTACTGAGATTCTGAAAGAAAAAATACAAGGCAGCAGCCCACACCACCGCGGTGGCCACGATACAGAAGAGTGGCACTGGGAGGACCCTCTCTGAGCTGCGAACCTGCGGGAGACGCAGAGATGGGGAAGCTGGAGCCACTGCTGCACCAGGTCAGGGCACTGTCAGCTTCCCACCCGCTCGTACCTTCATGATGATGTAGAAGGCCAGGTACAGCAGCAGATTGCAGATGAAGATGCCCAGCATGTAGGATGCAAAGTCCCTGGGCCGGTAGATCAAGCCAAAGAGGGCGCTGGGGACACAGGGAGAGAGGGTGTTGGCAGCAGAGAAGGTGATTTGTAACAGTGTTGGCTTTTCCACTGTCCTGCCTCATTTTTTATTTTTAAAGCAGAGGAGTTCATTTAGAAATGAGCTTATAGGGCCAGGTGTGGTGGTACATGTTTGTAATCCCAGCTATGTGGGAGGCAAAGGTAGGAAGATCATGGTCTAAGGTCAGCCAGGGACAAAAATGAGACCCTATCTGTAAAACAAATTAAAGCAAAAAGGGCTGAGGGTGTGGCTCAAGTGGTAGAGCACTTGTCTAGGAAGTATAAGACCCTCGGTTCAAACCCCAGTGCCACAAAACAAATGAGAGGAAGGAAGAAAGGAAGAAAGGAAGGAAGGAAGGGAGAAAGGAAGGAGGGAAAGAAGGAAGGAAGAAGGGAAAGAAAGGAGGGAGTAAGAAAGGAAGGAAGGAGGGAGTGATTGAGGGACAGAGGAAGGGAGGGAGGGAGGAGAAAAAGAAAAAAGGGGACCCAAATATAGACTAGCGATGCTAGAGGTTGGGAAGTAGAAGGCAGGGTGGATAAAAGGAGGCTGGATTTGATCAGTGTGTCTCACTAAAGCCCATTACTATGTACAATTGACACGTTAGTAAAAATATAAAATTCTATACAGTGTGTTGTTGGCTTTCTTTTGTCTCTATTTTGATTCACTGATCATATTTCTTTTTCTTTTTCTTCTTGTTTTTTTTGGTACTGGGGCTTGAACTCTGGGCCACACCTTGAGCCACTCCACCAGCCCTTTTTTGTGTTGGGCTTTTTTTTTGAGATAAGGTCTCACAAACTGTTTTCCTGGGCTGGTTTTGAACTGTGATCCTCCTGATCTCTGCCTCCTGAGCAGCTAGGATTATGGGCGTGAGCCACTGGTGCCCAGCACTGATTATATTTCTGGTTTTGTGCCACTTTCCTGTTTTATAATATGTTAGGTTAACTGTTTTGGCTATCCCATACTATCTCATTTGATAGCCTCATGTGGCTATTTAAAGTTAGTTAAATAAAAATTAAAAATACAGTCCCTCAGTCACATTAGCCCCATTTTAAGTTCTCAGGGCCCACATGGTAATAGTGATGGGAATTGGAGAGTACAGTGCAGGACAGATATACTATTCCAGAAAGTTCTAGTAGATAATGCTGGGCTAGTCACTGTTCTCCTCTGCCCCTCCTTCCTTCTATTAATTTTCCTTTTCAGAGATCTTTGAAATTTCTTCCTAATTAAGGCAAATACATTTTATAATAAAATTCCATTAACTTAATTCCAATTCTAGTTCTAAATTTATACATTCACTTGAGAACAGATATCTTTACAGTAGTTAATCTTCCCACCTAGGCCCTAACATTTTTCTTCATTTTGTTAAATTTTCCTTTATATCTCCTAATAAGGTAATTAAATTTTCTGAAGAAAGATTCTGCACATCTTTCAAAATTTATTCCTAAGTACTTCAAGTGTAGAGATGTTATTAGTGGACTCTTATTTTCTATTCCAACTGATTTGGTTCTATATGAGACAAGAAATTTCTTCCTTCTAACTTCTGAAATCTTCAGTATACCAAAAAACAAAACAAAACAAAATAAAAAACCCCTTATTTGGCTTTTATTCAAATTTACCAATTATTAGCATTTTGCCACATTTACATTATTATTCTTGCCCTGCCAGCTAATCTCACACACACACACACACACACACACACACACACACACACACACATGCGTATACATACACACATACATACATCTGTATGTGCATGTGTGCTATATACCTCTGTCTACACACACACACACACACACCATTTTCTTTATCACTCATATGGGAGTGATTCCTTCTAAAATAACATTCATATTAAATCGCTCCATGTCTGTGTGAACCAACTGAAAGAGAGATAACCCTCTACCAAGTAGTCACAGTGCTATGTGTCATTACAACTTATACATCCTTGTAGGACCTGGTGTTCCACAGAGCTGTGTGAGAAGAAAGAGGCTATCTACCTTGTTTTCTGAGCAGATTGTAGGTTTGGTTTTGATTTTGTGAGAGACAGAGATATGCCTGGTGATTCTGAGCCCAGGGGATCAAAGCCATGGGTTTTTCATTATGAAGTTGGTCCCTTTTCTCTTACCATCTTACAGTGTCACCAAGTCTGTGGAGTCTGCTTCTAAAAGGGTGGTCAAGAAGAATGCTGCAGGTGACCACTGCCTGCCTCATCTCGACTTGTTCCCAAGCACAGGAGGTCACCAAAAGGTACAGACTTTACTCTCAAGGTAATGTGACAACATTGTGGGAAGTTTCTTTCAGAAGTCATGTCCCCCAAATAAGATTCAAATTCTCATGACTTGATTCTAAAGGCACACCTCTTCATTCCTTCATGTGTCCTAATGAGTGCAAGGAATTTTTCCATCAAAGATCATTGACTCAGAGAAGCATCTCAGCTAAGAGCTGAAAACAACCAGAGTTACTTAATTTTTGTTATCAATAAAATATCTCACATGTTCAAGGGGAGACAAGATTGCATAAAATAATTTCAAGTAGAAAAAATACATCCATTAGCAAGAAAGAAAAATTCTACAGAAAAGAATGATGACTGGATAGTCTTTATTGAAAGTTCTACAAAATAATTTTAAAATGTGTGCAGTTTTACACTTATTGGCATAGTTATCTATCTAGCTATCTGTCATCTATCTATCTATATGTTATTCATCTATCATCTACCTACCTACCTATATATATCATTTATCTATCTGACCTATCCACATAGATGCTTATCTTGTTGAGCAAATGAAATCAATCATAATACTTTAGAAGAAGCCACCAATGCTTCTAGTGTTCTTATTGTAGGAAGAAAAATACCTTTTGATTAAGTCTCTAGGATAAGTACAGTCCTGCTCTCTCTTTAATTTCAGATTTCTTTGTAAAAATGACAAAGGAAAGTTAAATCATAGTGTTATAGACATTAATAAAGAATAAAACATATTTTCCTGAGACACTTACAAGGACCAGTTGACCAGATTCCCCACAATGAGCAATACCATTCTATCCTGGGAAAAAGGAAAACAAATATCAAATGAGAGACTGCATATAATACTTTTATTGTAACCTACTAAAGTGAAAGCATCAACTCTGGGAAAACAATTGCCTTGCTGAAAAAAATTGTCCATGGTTCTAAAAGAGCCTTTCTTAAGATATCCAGCATCAATCCTCTACAAGGGCTACAGAGCAAGGCCTCTGATTGCAAACAGATGTGACTTCATCCTTGTAAAAAAACTGTGGTCAGCAAAGCAGGACATGGCTATTCCCTCCCATCCCCGAGGTTTAATGGATCTGGGCAACTGGGTCCACTTTTCCATGGGAAAGCTGGACATGTGTACTGATTACTCAGTTCTTAGAATTCTGACACCAGTGCTATGTGAGTGAGGACTGTCTCTGTTTTACATCACTTGGTAGCCTCCACTGCAACTGTCAGGACCAACCATGGGAGTTAGTCTTGTTTCCATAACTGTGGCTCCAAGGAGGCCCTGCAACCTATAGGCTCCTGGTCTCAGTAACAGACAGTCTTAACACTAAAGTTACCGAGTAAGGGAGAAAAGATGGTAGCCCGTCTTATAGCCCAATTACTGTGGTAGAGTTTCGTTCACAATCTATTGTGAACTTTGCATATTACTTAAAAGTTTCAGGCACTATTTAATTCAACTTTTAATAGTTTAAATTGCTACTTTACTATTTAAAAGTGGTGATTTTCTGTCTTTGTTTAATGGAGAACCTGCACAAGATTTTTTTTTATTTTTGGCAGTACTGAGGCTTGAACTCAGGGCCTCTTGCTTGCTAGGCAGGTGCTCTACCATTTGAGCCACTCTACCAGTCCTTTTTGTACAGGGTGTTTTTGAGATAGGGTCTCTTGAAGTATTTGCCTGGGCTAGCTCCGAACCATGAACTTCCTGATCTCTGCCTTCCAAGTAGCTAGGATTTCAGGTGTGAGCCCCCTGCACCTGTCAGCACACAATTGTTTTATTAGCTTTATTCATAATTACCCAGATGTACTTTAGTAGGTGAATGGATAAATAAACTGCTGTACCTTTAAACAATGGAATATTATTTAACACTAAAATGAAAGGAGCTGTGAAAAGACATGGAAGAAACTTAGATGCATATTACTAAGTGAAAGAGGCCAACCAGGAAAGACCACACATTGTACGATTCCAATTACATGGCACTTTAGAAAAGCAAAACTATAGACACAATAGTGGTTGGCAGGGGTGAGGGTAGAGGGACAGGTGAACAGAGAGAGCACAGAGGATTTTTAGGGCAGTGAAACTGCTCTGTGTGACTCTGTAATTGTAGTACATGCAACACAAGGTATAAATACGGGCTGAGTGATGATGTGTCCATGCAGGGTCATTGACTGTAACCAGTGTACCATTCTGTCGGCAATGCCGATAGTGGGGAGGCTCTGCACGTGTAGGATCAAGGGTGTATGGGAAATCTTGGTATCTTCTGCTCAACTTTGCTGTGAACCTAAAACTGCTCTCTAGCTATCAAGTACTGTAAGTAGAAACCAAGAAAACAGACAGAACATGAATGGTCTCACCTGTTCACAGCCAAGGCACGTATAACTCTCAGAATACCCACAGATCCTCATAGACTTTTTAATTCTCACCTGAACAACCCCCTCCAGCCTCAATTCTCTCAAGTTTTTAGTGCCTGTAACTCCTGCCCAAGCTCTAGAAGGCTAAACAATCCCCACATTTCTTTATGTAAGAATTTGTCTGATTACAAAAGATTAGCAGGTGTTTATTGAATTCTTGTGTGCCAGGCCCATATGTGTCACTAGATCTGACCACAGCACTGAGCAAAGGCAATAGGCTCATAGGAGGTAGGTAGCTGTCCCATCCATCACTCCCATGTCACTCTGACCAGGACAGAGCCGGGGCAGGGGCCTGATCTCCAGGCTCAGTGTAGAAAAGGATAATATGCTGAAAAGTAACCATCAAACAATAACCACAGTTTAAAAAATATTCTTGCTCATTATAAAAGTCAAACAATACAGAAATGCATAGTGTGGAAAGTATAAGTTCCTAATGAAAGTGGTCAGAATGACCATGTGGTTTATAACTGCTGTCCTGGTGTAAATATTAATAGCATGCCTTTCACTTTCACAAGGGCCCACTTTGCATGTGTATAGGATATTCTGTCTTGCTCCTCCCCCACAGCATTTATCCCTACTCAAATCTTAGCATATATGTTTTCTTTTCTTTACAGACCAGCAAATGTTGTTTACAAGGATGGGACCATACTAGTTTGTCTTTTTAAAGGCGGAAGCAACACTCATCTTTTCCCACTGACGACTCCAGCCACTCTGGGCCATCTGGTTCTTTTGGGTTTTGGAGCAGAGTGGCTGCCCCCCACCTGGTCCTCCTGCTGTTCCTCTACTTTCTGGGAGAAGGCCAAGGAACAAGGAAGCATGCACGTACCATATACAGAGGCCGGCTACACTGCTGGACACAGTCTGTGTAGAATACCATAGCAGCCCGCCGGAAAATTCCCAAATCTGTTGACATAATTGCACGATGAGAAGGTTTCGTCAGTAAAATACAAATACTGGAAAATGGCACAAGCTTTTGAGCCTGGGTGATTTCATCTTCACTTTATTAAAATGCAGCAGGGTGCTTTGCAACAAATGGGTGAGCAACAAATGTATGCTTTAAAACATGCTTTTGTCATGGTGGGGGCACCATATCCATGCTTCATACAGCAGAAAGGCAAGCAAGATGGACACGAATAACAAGCCCTGCACATAACTCTGAGCTGGTGACCCTTATTGTTTCCTTCAGCTAAGCTTCCCTTTGCTTATAGTTTACCCTGGTGGCAGTTCCTTTAGAACAGAGGCATTAGGGCCCCTCAAGCCCATCTTAAAACATATGCTCTCCCTACAGGATGGGAAATCTTAGCTTAAAGGTTCCAATCTGTATTTCTCCATGTGGTTATGAGTTAGTAAGGCTTGAACCAAGAGATCCTGAGCCATCCTCAGCAGGTACAGAAAGCCCATCTGTACTGAAACAACAGTCAGAATAGTCAAAGGAATGCAAGTTAAAATGTCAAGAAAACGACAGGAAAGGTTTTTGGAAATGCGATCTGCAAAAGGAAGGCATGAAATGCCATCAGTGTGGATGTTATCACTGCGACACAAACAGTCAAGGTCAAAGGCGGAGAAATCTTTCTGTTAAGTTGTCCACATTTGTTGATATCAAATACAAGACTGGGTCTGCCCAGAGCCAGCATTTCAAGGCCTCTTCAAGGCCTCTTCAAGGCCACTCCATAGTGAACTTAACCAGGATGGGGGGGCCTGGCCATGAGACAGCCCAGAAGAGGCCCACAGTAAGCTAGGTTGGAGTGCAGCCTGGCCTCTGGCACTTCTCTCTAGAACTCCTTTCCACAGAGCCTGCCCAACCTGGAAAGGGGGTGTCCAGGGAACAGAGCTGGCAGACAGCCAGGTGGGTCACTTTGACAGGAATCAATCTAGAACCTTAGGAAGGGTGGCAGGAGATTACCTGTGTCAGAGACATCTGAATCAGTGGGAAGCAGAGAAGAAATAAGAGAAAGAAATGATTTGTAAGAAGGAAGCCACACAGGTAAACTACAGGTCATTTTATTTTTTTCTTAAAACAATGACTATAATTTTATTTTCTAATTGTAAAAGTAATGTTTGCTCCCTGTAGCGAACACAGCCTTTCTGCCCATCTCAGACATTTTGAAGTTTATTTTCAAAGACTGCACTGAGACTTTGCTCTCGCTCTTCTACCTTTGTGCACCAGTGCATTTATAATCCAGCTTTTTCTCATGAGCAACCCCTGAGCTCTTTTTCCTGGGCTCTGGGATCACAGTAGTGATCTGGGCAAGTTGTTTTCTGTCCTACTTATGAAATGTTCAGTCTCATCCCTGCTGCTTTGCCTGTGTCTACATTTGTTTTCTGTGTAGCCTGAGGGCCACAGAGAAAGAAGCATGTGATTAGAAAGCAAAGGGAGCGAACAAAGAGAGGCTGGAGTTGGCTAAACCACTGTCCAATCCAACTTCCTGCCTTTTGACTAACCTTAAAACACACTTGTTGTCACAAGGAAATAGCAAGTTTTCCTTTTGACACTGGCAAATCTGTAATCATCTGAGGAAGACTCCCTTGGTACAGAACTTGAAAATATTTAAATTCCAAGTGGCCCTTCCCACTTGACATGTGTCTTTTTTTTCCTGCACCATGCCAGGGAGGCTGACTTGTTTGGACTACATCAGTGGGTTTCCTTACAGTCCTTGGAGGTGGACAGTGGGGAGCCCCACTAGGATCTGTGGTACCTTCTCTGTGAGGTTGCATCAGGCTGGCCGTGTCTGTCAGCCAAAGGTTATTGCTTCTTGCAGAGTGACTTTCTCTTCATAACACGTTTTGGTAACCACTTTCTCCCTATCCTTTTGGGTTTGTGAATTGTAAAGGCTTCACTGCTACCAACCCTAGGCTGCCTTACTACCCTGACATTCTCAACCCCACCCAGGTCTTGCAAATGGCTCCTTTGTGAATAAACCCTCATCAGTCTTTGTGTGTGGCATCTTATTCCTGTTGGAATCCTCATACATCATTGCAACATGTTAAATTCCTCCTTGTTTAAAAGGCAAACTAATTTAGTGTTGCATTACTGTTATCACCACCAGGATTATGTCCATAGTAACGGACATTACCATTACCTATATCTATTTTTATTTTTCTCCTCCCTAAATTTGGGAGAAAGCAGAATAATTCTAAATTATTTTCCTTTGGAACGTTTGGTTTGTATGACTTACTCACCTTGGCTCTGGAAGATAGGGCATGACCAGAGCACCCCATCAAATGTACTGTACAACTGGCTAATTGGCTGGGGCACGTGGAGGTATACTGGCTATGAAGGGTAGGTAGATCATGACCATGTCCAAAGAGAAAATTAAACTGTGAAGGTAAGAATGTATTTTATTTGATTTCTACCTTCAAGCCATTTGTTTACATTGAATTGCTACTAGACCTGGGCAGAGGGGTTCCTTATTTCAGAGTGTCCTCACTACTCCATGAGTGAGCAGTCTGCAGGGTAAGGGCACTAATCCTTCCTTTTCTAGATCACATTCTGGATCTCAAAATTCCCTTCCCAGAAGAGGTGACTTTGAGCCTGCTCTTGGAGCCTGCGTAACTCCCTGCCTTGGTTTATCCTCCTGAGGCAGATGGCACTGTTAGCGCACACCTCTAACGTCAAGGAATGGCTAAGTGGTGGCTATATGTGAGGGAGGAGGTTGGACATAGGATATTGGACAGGGATGTCTTTATGTATATCTGAGACACCAATTAAGATAAAGGACAGAGCCAGAGGTAAGGGAACAGCTTGTTCTACAGTGTTCTTTTGAGAGACCAAGAATTCTAAATTGGAACCCAGATCTAGCTTGTAATGGGGATATATTTCTTCCTTCCTTCCTTCCTTCTTTCCTTCCTTCCCTCTTTTCCCGTCTTCTTTTTTCTCATATTTAATAGTATTTAGCCTGCTTTTTAACTTTGAAATATTCACATATTTGGTATGTGTACTTTTATTTTCATTCTTTCCCTTAGCTCTGAAAATATTAGGAGTAGGTAGGCCCATGATTATATATAATAATTTATTTTGAAATATACAAATGAATACTTAAGTCTGACTTCTTGGATCATAAGATAACTTTTAAAATTTAAATGCTCTAAAGCAACTTGAACTTCTCCAATATGTGATGATGACTGACTGACAGAAAATCACAAACTGATTTCTGTAGAACATTCCAGGGTCCCTAATTGGTCCACATTGTCTGAGGTAGTTTAAAAAGGCATCCTGCTTCTAAGACTGGCAAGCTGGTCTCAAAAAGTTCTAGCTCTAGAATCTGGTAGTAATATATGGTTCATTCTTGACAACCACTTAGCATAGCTTGAGAAATGCTCCTTTTTGAATGCTGCAGATGGAAAATGTTCCTCTAGGTGGGACTAGTGGTATAATGAGCATACCGTTCTTATAATATATTTCAAAGTTTGGTAGATCGTGAAGTGTTTGCAGTTAGGAGCTTGATGTGTGGCTCAGCTCTGAGGTGTGGCAAACTTAGATTCTCAGATGAAAACAGAAATAGTGGTAACAGTTTATTGTAATCCTATAAGGAAGAAGTTCTTAGAGATAATTAAACACAGCATAGACTTCAGAGCATATATTCATGACAATCAGCAACACTTTCATTTAGGATCACTGAGGCAGTATGCTCTCTCAGGGGAAGTCAATCCCTTACCGCAGAAAAACAGATGACTTACCTATCTTGAAACGACCCATGTAGTATATCTGGGTGCTGAGGGCGAGCGAGGCCAGAATATGGATTGCAGAGAAGATGACCCAGAACCACACATCATTTTTCCCAAACACCTAGGAGTAAAGATGGAGGTTAACTTGATCTAGGGCTGTCCCAGAGAACTTATGAGAATCACTGTCTCTTAGGCATCCATAAGGGGTCAAAGATTGAGTCATATGTGCATTTTCAACCCTTATCAGAACTCACAAGGATCTTACTGCACAGTGGACAGGAAAAAGAATGGCTATCCGTGCACATGAAAACCAAAGAGAGAAGAAATAGAAGAGGCAGCTGTAGAACAATGATGAAGGGGCAAGACGCCTAAAGTTTGGGATAATAATCCTCAAATAACTGAAGACAGCCAACACTTGTTTCCCAAGCACATTTAGGAAGTGGTTTCGGTTCTCTCAAGTTGGTCTTTCCAATCAGCTTGGATATATCTATTCCAATCTGACATGAGTCAGACCCCAGCTTAATATTGAAACTACCACAGGGTAGTTTTACAAGTGCCTATTACATCCTTAGAAATAACCATCTAAGTAACTAAGTAAGAGTGCCATGAACAGACCAATGAAGAGAGTGTGTGATGGGCCAAGGATTATGGTTAATTCAAACCCATGCACCTGAGGCCCAATAAGGAAAGAACAAAAGTTCCCCCCAAGAGGGCACTTTTCAAGAGCCAGAGTGAAGACAGATAGGGACGCACCACTCCGAGGACGGTAAGCATGATGACCACAGCAAAGGAGGCATAGGCAGAGTAGGCACTGGCGTTGATGTCTGGATGGCGCGTCTGATAGAGCTTCAGCATGCAGAGGCCCGCAATCATGTACATGAATGATGTGTCTGGGGACACAGAGGAGGATTCAAGACAAGAAGTTCAGTAGGTGACAGATGCATTTTCTAGATTTTTCTTCAGTTTCTGAGTACTCTCTCACTTCAGTCCATGGAGTATTTGCTGCCATCAGACTGTGGGGAAACCTCCAACATGTCAGCCTCCCTAGGCACATTCTTTAGGAAGATCGCATCTACTCCATTTCTAACCCCCCCACACCAACTCCAAGCTGTTCTTACCTAACAAAAGAATGACATCCAATAGGATAAATAATCAACTAGCCCCACTTGCAGGAGTATTTGCATTTAAAATACTCATGTTCAACAATGGTGACAGTTTAGGCAATGTGACAATGAGTTTCAGGTGGGTGTAGGAGTTTGTATGAGCCCCCTGAAATACAGCATGGATTATAGCACATATATGTACAGCTTTATAGCCTGGTCAAGGAAAATAGCTAGACATTAAATGCAGCCTAGCTGCATTGGAATTGTGGAGAGGCAAAGTAAAACAACATAATGCCCCACATTACTCAAAAAATTTAGCATAAATTAAAGTGCCTGATGATAACAAATGTTAGTAATGGATGTGGGAAATTAGGAACTATCGCACAGCTAGCGGGAATAGGAATTAATACTCTGGAGAGAAATTTGTTAGTTTTTGGCAAAATAGAAAATGTACAAACCAAGTGATTCAAAACTTCTACTTCTAAGCCAGGTGCTGGCAGCTCATGCCTATAATCCTCACTATTCAGGAGGCAGAGATCAGGAGGATTGAGGTTTGAAGCCAGCTCAGGAAAATAGTTCATGAGATCCTATCTTGAAAATACCCAAAATACACAAAACAGGGCTGGCGGAGTGACTTAAGTGGTAGAGTGCCTGCCTAGCAACCATGAGACCTTGAGTTCAAACCTTAGTATTGCCCCCCCCCAAAAAAACCCCACAATTTCTACTTCTAGATATACCAGGGACCCTCTGTCACATGTGCACAGGAGATCTATGTAAGAATGCTCATTACAGCAATGTATGTAACAGCAAAATATTGTCAACATCTAAATGTTCAATAGAGGAGCTGGTAAATGTGACTTAATTTATAATAGGATATGACAGTCTTTAAAAATGAGTGAGCACATATTTTCTGGTTTACTTTTTATTTTTGGAAGTTCTGGAGGCTGAACTCAGGGTCTCATACTTGCTAGGCAGGTGCTCTACCACTTGACCCATTCCTCAAGCTGAACTCCACATTCTTGATTCAATTTTGATTGTCTTGGAAAGACTGTTGTCTTTCCTCTGTTGTGGAAAACAGAGGTTGCAGAATACAATGTGCTATGTTAATGTTAACTTACCACAAATATAGTACAACTATAAACACAAACTAGAAGGATAAATAACAAATTAATCATAGCTGTTTCCTCTGGGGAAAGGAGGAAGAAGGTGAAGTTTGGGAAATGGTTCAAAATAGGTTCAAAATTGTTTTACTTTATTATACTGTTTTATTTTTTAAATAGTAGGTCTAAGGCATATTTAAAAGTATTCAGATTCCTTAATTTTGAGCAGTGAATAATGTTATTCTCTGAAGTTTTTCCCATTAAAAGTTAACAAAGAATGTCTGTGGTGGTAGTTTGACAGTCAGAGGTCAGAGAACAAATGACTACTTTAAAAATTATTATCCTTGAGTGTGAGCCATTGTGACTGGCCACCAGCTCAGTTCTTTCCATCCTCCTCTTTTTTTTGTGTGTTTTGGGGCAGGGTCTTGTTATGTAGCTCAGGCTGTCCTTAAACTTAAGAGTCTCCTGCCTCACCCTCCTAAGTGCTGGTATTGTAGGCACGAGCACCTCCACAACCTTGGTCCGCCTTCTTCCTCCTTAGTAGCATTTCAGTACTGACTTGGTATCTACTGTGTTTTCAATTCAGACATGCACAGTACTCAGGAGGCAACTCCCTGGCTTCAGGAAAGCTCACCCTACTCTTGGTTCCAGGGATGGGTCTGATTGGTTAAAAGGTAACCCCATCTCCTTTTCTGATTGGTGTAGCAACTCAGTCCAGAGCTAAGCAGCACTTAAAGGAATGACTCATGGATGGTCTCATGACTGGTTAAGCTATTGAGGTGTTATTATCCTGGAGTTTCTTGAAAAGAAGTCCCTTGTTCCTAAGTGAAGGCTCCTGGAAGTCAGCTTGAAATCTCCTCTGAAACTGGGGGATGGAGACATGAAGTCAGGATCTGCTGTGGCCACTTTGTGCCACCCAGAAAGAAGTTAGTCTCAGGATAAAACCAACATACTGGCTGGGTACAACCAGAGGGGTCATACAGAGAAAGGGAGCCAAAGCAACCACAGCCTTTTCTACCTCTGGCCTTTTGGACAGTGAGCTGACAGATGCCATTATTCAATTCAGTCTGAATTGGATTTTCTATTACTTTTTCTTTCTGGAGCAGTCTCACCATCCAGTTAGACCAAGTGATACTGAGCGGCCGTTCCGAAAGTCTGCTGGATTCTAGCTGTCTGGGCCCTAACGTGTAGCCCATTGCTGGCCTTTGGAGCTCACTATGGGATCATCATTCAGTGTTGAGTGTTTTCTAGTCTAAAAGATGGTCAGAGAGAAAAAGTGGTACAACATGTGGAAGTCATGCTCTGTGGTGAGGTGCTCTCAGATCATTTCGGGTCACACAAAATGCCTTTTAATTCTTGCAAGTATGAGCGTGATATTTTTGGAAGGGTCCCAGGATAAAATTCCCATAACTCAAATCTATGTACTTGATATAAATTTTAATTACCGAACTGGAAATTGGAGTAATTAGGGCAGACATGGTAACAAGCACTGAGCACTCCTTCCATCATCAGTGCGATGCCCATAGCATAGAAGAGACCAAAGTGTTTGGGAATCCCGTACTCCTAAAAAGGGAGAAAGAGTGATCAATAGACAGACACTGGACAGACAACAGATATATCCACGGAATCTGGAAGCTCCTGCTCTGGCCTCATGTGGCTCATTGCAATAATATATTACCATATCCTCAACACAGGTTCCCCTTCCTCTTTACAGATCCTGTGTGGAATCCTAATCCTTTCCAGTTCCTACCTCGGATTTGCCCACTCTCTCCTCACCATAGCAAAGATGTCCTTTGCTTCCAGGGCTCTTCGATGGAGAACATCCCGGCGCAAGACTATCAGGAGGAAGAGGAAGCCCAGAAGCACGTGGCCCAGGTTACTGAGAATATTGTTGAAGGCACTGTAGGGATGAGTGAGAAATGAAGAGAGTGAAGGCAACAGAGGAGTCTGAGAATGAACGGATGCACAAATGAGTAAGGGAACTCCCCTTTCAGTGCTTCCCACAGCTAACCTTTCCCTAAGATTTCAAGATTGGAAACTCCTCAGAAATCCTCACTGAGCTAACGCCTTCATTTTAGGATGCTTACTTAGCTTGTGATAACATATCCTCTCCTCCTAGAAATTCCTCCTCACATCCCTAACACCTGCCCAATCTTCTCTTGTCCCGATGGCACTGGCAGAGTGAATCTTGGGAAAGAGAGCTGATCCAGTGATGCACATGCATTTCATTTGTACTGCGAGAGTGACTTCTCATGGGTGGACCCAAATTTCGTATCAATGTCCAGCTCTCTAACTGTGGGTTTTTAGGATACGTGTCGGCCAATCACAGTGAGCAGCTTTATTTTGGGAAGTCGAGGCTGATTCAGCTCTGGAGCAAGAAGCCAGGTTCCCACCTCTCAGGCAAATACTCTTTTCATTTCACCAAGTTCTGGGGGTGCAGGCCTGGGGATAAGGTTTGAAGTCACCAACAGCTGAGAAAAGTGCAGGAAGTCCTTATCTGTCTGAGCTTAAGCATGTTCATCTACAGCTGGAGGGAATAATATGTATGTCATGAGGTGGTTTAACAGATTGAATAAGATAACAGCTGCCAGCTCTTGCCTGTGAACACAAGCCATCACAGACAGGGACCTGGTGGTTTCAGAAGGCTCACTGGTACTCCAGAGCAAGGTATTCTTAGGAATGTTGCCTGGAGCCGTCACACAGGAATGCAGGAAGCATAGCTAGTTTCAACTTCTGGGTTTAACTCCTCTTTACTCCAACTGCAGTAGTTATCCATAGTTGTTTTTAAAACCTGAAGTCCCATTACATAGAAAGGGATCATTAATGCCTCATGAGCAACCACAAGACTGGATTTACCTCAGGACGCCCAGGGGATGAGCACAGAGGAAATTGTAGTAACAGATGTCCTGGTTGCCAGTGACATTTACCACCTGTAAAATCAAGTGTGAGAAGAGGAAATGTGGTTTTTTTCATCCTCTGAGCACTACCTGAAGTCACAAAGAACAGACATGGCTCCCGGAGATGCCCTGTCAGTGATTAACAACATAACTACTGCTCCTAGTCAGCAGGGGTGGATCACTGTCACCACGTTACACAGCACAGGCATGTTTCCTGGAAATGTGAGCATGTTTTATTGGATGGAAATATTCTGTGCACCCCATCAGGTGGCCTCAAATGGAATTCAACTAAGTGTGGGTCCTTTGTTATCATAAGAAAAGGACTATGAACTGATGCTAGCATTGAGACCTGCCTTTTAAGTCTGTCTCTCTATGTCCTACCTTCTAGATTAAAGCTGTCCCATCCTCTGGGTGACAAGGACAACCACCAAGCAGGTACATGAGGAAAACTGTTCCTTCCGTATTTATCCCCTTCTCCATCATAAGCCTACACAAACCACAGCGCAGCTGTAGGTTCTCACAATGCCCCAAAGTATGCAGAGAAAATTTAGATTATAAACAGTGCCGTTAAAACCTCAGGAAGTCCTTGTCCTCTTATATAACAAGTATGGAATGCACTAAATATTTTTAGACCATTAGCTCTCAAATGTGGCTGTACACAGGAATCAATGGGAATTTAAACAATATTGATGCCTGGCTCACTCTCAGAGACCCTGAAGTACTCTATGTGGGGTACAGCCTGGAGACTGGCAATCCTAAAAGTACCCCCAAATAATTGTAATTCACAGCAAATATGAGTACCACTGCATAAAAACACCTTAGCCTTGTGCTGTTCTAAGTGGGCTTTTTTATGTATAATAATTTCTAGAGAATTTATACTTAATGTGACCTACACCCCAAATTAAATTCCCTCTTAAGTGTCCTGGCTTCTAGGGTTCTGCAAAGGAGCAGCAGGGATTCTCAAGTTATTTTAATATTAACTTTGTGCAATCGATGTTTAAAATTTTGGGTTTTGTTGTTTTAATATTTTGTTAGTTTCATGAAGTTTTTTTAAGGTTATAAAAAATTATCTTCAATAAGAAGGCACAGACTCAATTAGACATCAAATTTCTTTGTTTTGTTCTGGAACTTTATTTACTCTACTCACTATTTCATGGTGATCAGAAAGCTCAGACTAGTAAATAACAGGTGCAATTGATAGATATTATGAACAAAGGGGTGCAAAGTAATAATTTTATTTTATTTTTCATTCCAATAATTTTAGTTTGGTGGGCAAGCCAATATAAAGATTTCCCAAGTCCTCTTGTGATCAAGCAATTGGGAAAGAGATTGAAAGGTCAATAAGAATTTTTATAGGGACTGCATGTTAGTGCTATATCTACAGACAAATTTGAAGATTGAAATTTATAATTTTCTCTCCACTTTAAAAAATTCATAATTTAAATAGTAATTTGTAATTATCTCCATATATACTGTGCCAATCTTTTATTTAGGTTCATTTCTAGACACTGTAAAATCTCTATTTTAACCACATCTCTGTGTTCATTTTCTGACTACTGTTGAAATGTTGAAATAAAATAAACTTTTTATATATGTAAAAAAAACCAAACAAACAAATTTCTAGTTGAAGAAAAAAAAAAGGTCAGTAAAAGCCAGATGTGATGATACATTCTTGTAATCTCATCACTTGGAGGGTGAAGTAGGAGTTCAAGGCCAGCGAGACCCTGTCTCAAACACTCTCCAACCCCCAAAAAGGAAAGTTCAGTTAGACATGAAGCAATGGTGAAGTCCAGTTGGAAGGCAAATGGGAAATTAATTCTTGAACTGATCCAAAGCTAAACCTTTCTCTGTAGATCACAGTGAAGACTGTCCCTGCAGGTTGGAAGCTGGGATTCAAGCTGGGCAGCACTTACCGTCTGGTAGGTAATGACTAGCTGGATCACAGGCAGTGCATAAAACACAGCGATGGTGATGATGTTCCTAATCAGACAAAAAGGACCAGAAATAGTTATTTCCAAATTGACAATTTGCTTAGTTTTTAAAAATGATGCTTCCACCTCATAACTCCATCATTAGCTTGCAAAGCAATTAGAAGCTGATGATACAGTTCCAGTTTCTCCAAACTTTGCATTTGAGGATTTGGTAGACAGTATCTTCACTAAAAAGAGGGTGAGGAAGAAAATAAAAGCGCCCCTTGGTTACTGCTGTTACTCTTGGTTACAGAGAACACTGAAAATATTAACTAAAATTATATATTTAAAGGCTAATGATTAGTGTCCAACAAATAATAATTTTTTCCCCTTGTTGTACAATCCTTTGTAGAACAGTATAAAATCTGCTTGTGGTTTATCCACATTATTAATGACACATCTTCTCTTTAGTGTGTTGTTAAAGTGAGTAGAGTGCAAGTAAAGGGCGAGGGATCACATGCAAAGGGTGTAGCTCTCCTAGCTAACTCTTAGTTCCAAAATGATGGTCCCAGTATGAAATTTCATATGGCTCCATTGTCCCTGATTCCCCTCTAATATTTGCATTTAAGTAAAAGAGCATTCCTCAAGAGAAAAGAATGGGAAATGCAGTTACAAGGGGATACCAGTCAACCTGAAGCTTTCTGAGTGAAGCTCAGCTTCTTGGCAGGGTGTAGACTGGGTTCAGGAGTGTGACCATCACAGATCTATTTACCATTAGCTGGTGACATCATCGCCCATACTTGTGTCTCATTAAGCACTAGCCCCTTGTGACATGAATGGTTGTAGCTTTTATAAAGAAAACTAATTTAAATTTAAAGAATGTAGGCGGGGAGGATGTAGCTCAGTGGTACAGCACTTGCCTAGCATGTGTGAGGCCCTGGATTTGATCCCCAGTACCACAATGAATGAATGAATGAATGAATAAATCTGAGTAATTAATTTCTTAAAGGAGCCATGGTCCTACTTACCAAAAATAAATCTTATATTTTTTGCTGACAATTCTCCGGTCCTTCCTGGACAGATCTGACAGGTAAAGGAACATCTGGGATGCCAATAAAAAAAAGAATGCAAGACTTTACTTGGCTTTTCTTGTATGAGATACAAAGGAGAGCATTACAAATTTCAATTTAATCCCTCACTAGGAATTAAAACTATCCCATAAGACTTTTCTTTTAATTTTGCCCCAGGATACCTTAATAAAAATCCGAATATTTTTCATTTTTCCTTGGACTGTCAAAGACTGGCTGAGGTGGAAAGCCAATTAGGATTCTTGAATGCTTCTGATCTCTCAGGTATTGATTTCCTGTCTTTCAGAGTATCCACTGTGTGGATCTTGAATCACTTAAAGTTGAAATTGTGCATTTCTTTTACTGGGTACCATATCATATAATAAACATATGCCAGAAAGAAATGAGCTTTACTCTTAATATGTAAAAAAAAATTGGGAACTTTTCTAGGCACACCCCTCAAATGTATCTCTTCTTCCATCTGGTTGGATCCCTTCATCTTTTCTTGTCCACAGTCAGTCACTTCAGATGCTGAGTATTTAATGCTCTATTTAATTTTCTTCCTTAAGAAAAAAGTGCTAATTAACAGAGTATTGCCTTTAGTCTTTAGCTATGTTTTGTCTAAACCCTCCAGGAAATTTGACTTTCTGTGAAGGAAAAAATAAATAAAAGAAAGTGAGGCACTGGTGAAGCTTATTCTACTGCCAAACTTCCTGCTGTCTCAAAAAGTATGGCCAGGAAGAGGGAAGTACCTTGGTCCGGATGATGTTTTTATCACTCTCAATATCTGGCATGGTGTCAAAGTCACTCTCCTCCACAGAGCTGTCTGTGTCTGACTGGCATGGCTGCCCACCATCAGAGGAGGACACCTGTCTCCCAGGACTGGAGGTTGACTCATCTGAAACCAAAAACTCATCTTCCTTTAAAAGCCAAGAACAGCCTATGGAGGCTATTCCTCTGCAAAGAGCACAGTGCTGACTCATTCTAGAAAATACTGCCTGGGTCAAAACTAACTCCTTACCCAGGGGACATGCTCTTCCTCTCATACCTTTTTAGTTTACTTTCATTTTTTTCTTTTTTTCTATTTTTACATTTAACTTGTCTATTTCTACAGCTGAAAGCATATTAGAATTTAAGGGCATCTGCTCTGTTTACTATTTGGATGCAAAATAACATTGTGCTTTTATTTCATGTTTCATATCTTACAATATGAACATGAGTATATAGACATACACATGCATAGTTATGTATAGCGTCTGTCACATGGATGTGTAAGCATACACATATCCAGCAGCTATACATTTCCCACACATAAGGTACTGAGACACAGAAATCCCCCACATGCCATGTCTAGGGTTATATAATGATAACGACACTCTCAGGAAGCAGGGTTCTTCTGTTCCCATGAGTGTTTCCCAGAGCAGATGGGATTTGTGTAGCCTGAGCACATGAGCAGAGCCTACCTTCCGTTTTATTTCTTCTGTTCAGATGATTTTAAAAATCTTGTTCTCACCAAACTAAAAATAAGTAGCCTACACTGAGCCCATATGCTCCAAGTTACAGAAAAACAGGGCAGAAATGCAGAATTCCCAGTGCTTCTACACTGGCATTTTAGGAGCACCATTCACAGGCTTACAAGCACCATGGAAGGGGCAGGCAGCTCAGAGCACTTCTACCCTAAGAAGACAGGAATGAGGATTCTCCCCTCAGGCTGGGTTTGCCAAGTGAATGACAAGGTGGCAGTGAGCAGGCTCAGTTGTGAAGTTAGCCAAAATGAAGGACTGTTAGCTACAGCCATGTTCACCTGCAGCACTGCCTGTGTCTTCTGACTGCCCTTACTCCACTGACACCTGAGAATGAAACAACCGGTCAATTGATGTCAGGCTTGTGGTCACATTTTTCATGCCCTAAAATCAGGCAAAGGTATGAAAAAGTCCCCAGGGGTCTTGATAGTTGATGGCAGTCATTGTAGGAAATTCTGTTCAAGTGTGATTAGCAGATACAAGAAACTAAACAATAGAACTGCAGAAAATCAGTGCTGGAAGGAACCTTCCAGATTATTCAACCAATTCATCTTATACATAAAAGACAATTTCATAGGATGACTGGCTTGCCCATGCTCCCGGTGGTTAGAGACCTTAGAGCCCTTTGTATGCTAATTTCTAGAGAAATAGGAAACAATCCCACCAACAGAATCATTATAGGAAATACCTATCGCCCCATAATTGCTCCCTTCAGGTGTGCTGGCAGAGATGGGCTGTGACACTGCCATATTTCCAGAGCCTGTGAAAAAAAAGCAAGAGGCAGACACTTTATATTCAGCTGCTTAAACAGAACACAACTCTAAGTAGCTCAAATTATTAGGCCATAATATTTTAATTTTGATTTTCATTATGTTCTAATACATAAATCATCAAACTGTGGTCCACAAGTCAAATCTAGCCTGCCACCTGTTTTCATTTGGCCCTAAAACTAAGATTTTTTGTTTTGTTTTGGCAGTACTGGGGTTTGAGCTCAGGGCTTCAGGCTTGCTAGGCAGGCGCTCTACTGCTTGAGCCACACCTCCAGCCCTTTTTACTCTGGTTATTTTGGAGATAAGGTCTTGCTTTTTGCCCAGGCCAGCCTGGACTGCGATCTTCCTATTTGAAGCTATTTAACAGGCATACACCATCATGCCCAGCTTTTTTTCTGTTGAAATGGGGTTTCACAAATTTTTCCCTCTCAGGTTAGCCTGGAACTGCTATCTTCCAGGAGAGGGGAGGGGCGGGAGGAGGGGAAGAGAAAGGAAAAGGGGAGGGAAGGGGAGTAAGCCTCTGAGTTAGTTTGGGATGACAGGTGTGAGCCACCACACCCAGCTACTGGTGGAGATGGGGTCTTGTGCACTTCTTGCCCAGGCTGGCCCTGAACAATGATCGTACTGATCTCAGTTTCCCAAGCAGCTAGGATTATAAGTGTGAGCCACCAGCACCCAGCTAAGATTTGTTTAAATTTTTAAAAAAATTTTTTGGAAAATCAAAATAAGAAGAAAATTTCATGGCAGATGACATTTGTATGAACTTCAAATTCCAGCATTCATTCCTAAAGTTCTATTGAAACTTAACCACATTCATTTGGGTATAAATATGGCTGCTTTTGTACTATAGTGGCACATTTGAGTAGTTATAGCTTAGATTTTATAGTCCAAAAAGCCTAATATAGTATTTGACCCTTTCCAAAAAAAATTGTCTGATTCCTTCCTGATAGTGTTGATGGCAATGATACTGTCTCTTATCAGAAGATTCTCAAATTCTTTGTGCTCCACATAGAAGCATCCAGGCAGGATATATGGATGTAATGGAGTTTATTAAAAGTTAGGGAAGGGAATTACAAGAGGCCATGGTGGGACCAGGTGGAAGACAGAAGCAGAGAAAGAGTCTTTCTCTTTTCCTGGTGTTTTAAAAACTCATGCTAACCTATAGGAAGGGCAGAACCTGGTGATTCCTAACTACCAATAATCAATGAGTGCGGAGGGACATGGGTGGTCCCTGGGCCAGGCGGAGGTGGTTTGAGTTGTTTCACACCAGGGTACAAATAACCTACACACATCTGCAATTGAAAAGAAGGCACAGAGAAAGAGAAGAATGTTCAACCTGAAATATAATATTAAGTCATATTTGTTCTGAGAGTCCCAGACTTTCCTGAATTCTAGCCTGGCTCAACTGCGTCGCAGACTCATAGGAGTAAAGGGTCTGGAATCACTGTGAGGATGGCAACCACTGAACAGGAACATCGGAAACAAACTTCTAGTGTTAGGCCATAGTAGTTTATGGTTTATTTGTTATACTTTCAGCAGTCGCCTAACTGTAGGTAAGAAGGAAGTTACTGTACAGCCTGGAGCAACAAATGATGACAACATGAATTAAGGGTGTGGAGGAAGACAAGTTATTTTGCCGGATATTTAGGGCGTAGAACAGGCACACCTGTTGACAACAGGTTGTTGACAATAAGATTAAAGTAGACTCCAAGGTAATGTTCCAGTGAAATATAGTACTCCTAGTAGCAGAAAGAGTGATGTCATTGCTCTGAGAGTCTAGAATGTCTCTGGAGCCACCCCACCACAAGTATCAGAAAAAAAAGAAAAACCTCCCAGACTGCTTGATGGCTCCTAGACAAGATGCTGTCCCATTGAGTTTATCCAAATTAAGAGAGCACAGCAGAAACCACAATGAGCAGGCATCTAGGCAGTTCTCTGACTCTGACTTAGTGTGCCACCAGATTTGCAGGAGCCAAGATTGTCTAAGGAATTTCCTAAGAATATTTCCTCACAGGTTCCTAAGCTTTGTGAAGGATTTGGATATTGTCAGGCTGGTGAGAATTTTGACTCATTCCTCTTTCTGACAGGAGAGCTTACTGGTGTCATGTACCAGACAAAGAGAGTCTGGGAGAATTCACAGTCTCTCTCCATCTCTCTCTGTCTCTGTCTGTCTCTCTGTCTTTTTCTCTTGGGATTGAACCCAGGGCCTCACACATGCTAGGCAAGCACTGTAACACTGAGCTACATCCCTTCCCTGCTGGTCAGTGTCTTTTATTACTGTAGGGAAATAGATTTTCAGTGAAGAAACCTAATTAAGGATATTCTACAATATCCTGACTGTAAATATATTTTTATGTCTTCACTGAAAATATAGTTCATTATAAGTTGCAGGAAAGCTAAAGCGTTAACACATGTAAAGGAACCAAAGGCCTCAACAATTCCTAGGAGTCACAGTCAACTCTCTTCATCCAGGTCTCAAACTTCATTTCCATTGGTGGGTAGAAAACACACTCATAGTTTCTCAAGCCACTCTGTAGGCTTTGTTTATTTTTAAACTCCTTGTGTGCCCATTCATTTCCTCTGTGAAGAAAAATAACTAAATGCCAAGTTCAAAACTTTAAGCTGGGTGATGAGAGCCAAAGCTGGTGGCCTTAGAAACTTGTTTTCGTTTCTTCTTTTGGCAACTTAGTCAAGAGTTGGCTCAGCTGGACTGCTGAGGGTTCCCAGGACTCTCAGAATGCAGATTTTGATCATCAAGATGCATACTCCCTGGCATTGCTACTAGGCTTGATACATTTATTGTTTAGAGAAATTAGATCCCTGACCTTCCTTGGGCTAATGCATAAGTATGCAACAAGGCATCAACACTGTAATCTACGCTTTTCCTCCAAGTTAAGGTAAAGAAGCAGGTTACTTTAAGAGTGAAGTATGCTTGTGGAAGATGTCATGTGCACTTTGACTGTCTTTTTGACTTAGGGCAGTTTGACCATAGTCATAACATGAACCTTTGCTGCTGCTTCTGCTACTATTACTATTTGACCACAACAAGCACCACTGCTGTTACCACCACCACCAGTGCTGCTGCTACTCCTACTGCTTGGATTGCTATTTCTTCTGGCTGGGGTTCATTGAAAACTTACTTGTCAGGACACTGTTTGACGTTCTTTCAACAACCCTAAGAGGCGGGTACTATTATCACCATTTTAAAGATGATGAAATGAAGGCATTGAGAGAGATCAAATAGTTTACTCAGTCACTCAGCTAGTGGATGGATAGTGATTCATTGTACTGTTCTCTGTTAAAACTTATCTTTTTATTGTATATTACAAGATGTACATGTTTTGATATACGCATATGTAGCAAAATGATTACTACAGGTAAGCAAACTGACGTATCCATCACCTTTCATAGCTACCTCATTTTTTATTGTAAGAGCACCTAAAATTTATTTCTTTAGAAAAATTTCAGTGGAAAATAGAATATTATGAAGTGTAGTCCTCCTACTCCACGTTAGCCATCTAGACTCATTTGTTCTACAGAGCTGCAAATTTCCACCCTTTGACCTATAGCTTCTCATTTCCTTTCCGTCCTGACCCAGGTAACCACTATTCTATTCACTGTTGCTATGTATTTAACACTTTTAAAAAGCTTCCACCTATAAATGAGGTCATGCAGTATTTTTCTTTGTGTTTGTTTTATATCACTTAGCAGAATGTCCTCCAGGTTTACCCAAGGAGATGTGTCACAAATGGCAATATCTCCTTTTAAAAGGTGAATAATATTGGATCATGTGTTCATGTCACAAAGACACAAAACTTATCTTCCTTTCTTCCCTCCCTCCCTCCTTTCTTTTTCTTTCTTTCCTTCCTTCCTAACTTTCCTTTCCTTTCCGCTTCCTTCCTTCCTTCTTTTTGGCAGTACTAGAGATTGAACTCAGGGACTCATGCTTGCTAGGCAAGCTCTCTGTCACTTGAGCCATGCCCCAGTCCTTCTAGTTTGTACATCACCATGCTCAGTAAAATTTATCTTCTTAATTAAAAACTGCAGGGATTGTCCTTCAAAATATGAATATCTGGCAACAAATATGTTAGTTTCATGAGTGCCCGAGAATGTCTTTCAAAAGAGACAAGGATGAGAAGGGGATCAGGAACCAGTGTAAAGATCAGTTAGAGATGAATCAACTTGGGTTGAACACATTTGTACATGGAAGTAATGCTTGGAATCTCTCTTTATAGCTGTCCTTAACTCAACTAGCAAAAACGCTTTGTCTTTCTTATTATGCTTATGTCTTCTCTTCAACAAAATTAAAGATAAGGGCAGAACAGATTCTGCCTGGAAGTGAGGGTGGGGAAGGGGAGAGAGGGTGGGGGCAGGGGGCAGGGGGGAGAAATGACCCAATGTATGCACATGTGAATAAATGAATAAAAAAAAAAATAAATAAATAAAAGAGACAAGGAGGTTGAGGCTCATTTGCACCTCCATTTAATAAATTCCTGTTTTAAAAAAATAAGCTGCATGTTTGCTTGTTAAACTGATTGCTGCAGCTTTCTATGCCGCCCCTCCTCTCTGTCTAGCTCACTGCAGGGAGCCTCGTGGTGGACCCTATCTCCCTCTCATTCCTAGGAATGCTGTTGTCTTTTACATTTTCCTCAGTCTTTCACATTTTTCTCTTCTCAAGCTTAAGCTTCCTATTTTTAACCTTTAGGCTATGTCCTTTGTTTCAAATGTAATTTTAAAAAATATTAAATGTGTAAATAACAAATAAAGAATGGCATCAAAGTCATAAATCTCAGAATTTCTGGCTTTTCATTGTTAGTGGTATACGATACAGCATCAGTGTGCTTAAGAAAATGCCTGAGTTCAGTTATAGGAAGGCAAAGTGGTTCGTGGGAACCTATGTCTCGTGTGTGTGTGTGTGTGTGTGTGTGTGTGTGTGTGTGTGTGTTCAAAAGAAAAACAAAACCAAAAGCTAAAATCAAAGCAAAGAACAAATGACAAAAGCAATCACTGTTTCATTAGATGACAAGTTCATTAGAAAGAAAAGGCCAGCTGTGTAGGTCTGTTCAGATTTCCCTGATTTCTGTCCTCTTCTGTGGCTTGTATAGAGCATGAGCTGGTTTTGAGGCATTTAACTGGCCTTGTTCATTTTGAGGCAACTACAAAGCCATGGACAAGATCACCAAGGTTTTCATGTGCAATACACTGCAGATAGAAAAGCGTTTTAGTTCTGTGGTCTTATCTATGTGCAGTTTAAATAGGAGCTCACCCAACATGGGATAACAGTATTCTGTTATTCTGAAAGTCTCATGCCTTTCAGAATGCAAAAATAAGCTGGGCATGTAGCTCAGTGTTAGAGTTTGCCTAGCATGCATGAGGCCCTGGGTTTGATCCCCAGTACCACGGAGGAGGAAGGGGTGAAGAGGGAGGAGAGGGAAGATGCAAAAACCTAAGCATTTGCTCCCAAACTTCAAGTATGAGCATGGTCATATTTCTATTTTTAAAAGAAAGCAGAATTAAGCACAAAATATCAGTGTATAGGACAGATTGAGCTGTTCTGGCTGGGAATAGCAGACATGTGAGATTGTGAGTGAGCTCATTTTTTGTATATTTTCTCTAAGCATGAGTCCCTTGCCATCTGTCTGCTTCACTAGCAGAACAGAATATGCTTTCTTTTCATGCTAAATGCCCCATGTGAGGAGAAAAATTTATTTCCTGTTGAGCATGCTCAGATCTTTCAGGACCTCACATTTACAGGAATCTTGCCCGTTTCTGTCCATGACGGAGGTTGGAAGCTGCTGAGGGAGTCAGAAAGGATGTGCACTCACTGCCATGAAATTTTATTTTTACATCAATTGGCTACCTGCCCTAACTAGTCTCACATTTTGTCTCAAGAGGTGAAGAGGAAGTAAAGAAAACTGTTCATCTTTGCAGAAGGATGGAATACTAAAATTCTTCTTGAAGAAAAAGCTGTACAAGAAAAGTGAAGAAATTTAGAAAAATAAGAGTAGAGAACCAGAACTAGAATTTGAGACCCATGACAGAGAGGCTGTAGGTTTTTGTTTGTTGAGTCTCCTAACACACTTCTCATCTCATCCTGAGGACTCGGCTCTTTGCTAAGGAACTGATTTGGTGATGGGTTTGATTGGTGCTATGGTTTGGATGTGGTCTGAGTGTATCTCCCAAAAGAGGGTTGGTTTTCAGTATGGCAATGTTCAGAGGTGGTGGAAATTTTAAGAAATGGGCTGTCATGCAAGTTAATTTGTTAATGGGGCACTGCCCTTGGAAGGGATTAATGTAGTTCTCATGGGATCCTGGTTAGTTCCCAAAAGAGCAAATTATAAAAGAGCAAGTCTGGTCCCTGAATCTCTCTGCTTCCTGTCTTGTTACATGACTCCTTCTACACATGTAGCACCTTTCCCTTCCCACTCCTCTGCCATGGTGTGATGTAGGCAATGCGGCCCTTGCCAGAGGCTGCCCTGATGGTACTGCCCGATCTTGGACTTTCAGCCTGTAAAATTGTAAGCGAAATAAACCTCTTTTCCTTATAAATTACCCACACTGGAGTACTTTGTTATAGTAAGAGAAAATGAACTAATAGAGTTGTCCATTTTTTTTCATACCATACTGGGGTTTGAACTCAGGGCCTTGTGCTTGCTAGGTAGCCAGCTCCTCTACCCCAGCCCTTGGTTCTTAAACTTACAAACTTATCAGGATTGTCACCTCTCTCATTTGAGAAAGTAACCTCCAGAGTTCACAGTGGCAGCTCCTGTTGCTCCAGATGCCTGCAAGGTAACTAAATTTAACTCCTTAAGTAGGATTTGAAATGCTGGGTTTCTCCACTGACAGAGCAAGTAGAGGAAATGTTTTTAGAGCACAGAGTTTTTGCTAGTACCCATCAGATTAACACAGAGCCCTTGTCCTTCATAGTAAGTGATGACTGGAGAATCCCGTATCCAGACACTCAAATCACAATAAAACAAAGTTCCGTCATGGACTCTAGGATAGCTCTTAACCAACACTATCTCCACTTGCCCAGGCTCCAGGGCTTGTTGCTGCCTTCATCCCATGAAGTATGAAAGGAATTCTTTTGCTTTTTAGTATAGTTGGGGCCAACATTGACATTTTTCAAATGCAACTTAATTAAGCTACTGTGGGCATGTCAAAGAAAAACAAAGGCAGTGTGGCCAACAGATTATTTGGACACAGCTTTCCTATCATGACCTAAGACACAGCTATCGCCAATTTGGTAACATAGGAACATACCTTCATTTCTTCCACCTAATGGAACCTACGGTGAAAGCACTCCACCGTGTTCCTTAGATGTCTAGCTCTAGTGATGTGGGTAGCACAGGACACCAAGTTTTGTGGGGTTCATGTTCAGAAGCTGCTCCTAGTATCTGCTCTGGCCCAAGCCCTCGGGACATTTCCTGCAGCTATGAGCTCCACTGAATTCCCGAGACCTATAGTCACACTGATCTTAACCTTGGGAGAAAAAGACATTTCATCCCCATGTTCTTCTCCAAAGTTCCTTTCTGAAATGGTTCACATTGGCTTTCAGATTCATTGCTTGCTCGCCTCTGGTTCTGGCTCCTGGCTGGTGTCTCAGTCCTTTGCCCCATATGACTGGAAGTCACAAACTGGTTCTTTCCTTGGCCAGCCAGCACTGGTCTGCTCCTGTTTTTGTTTTAAGCAACTAGTTTTGGTTCTCCAGTGGTCACGGGGCATTAGAGGTAGTGCCAGCTTCCTGTACCCTCCCCACATTACAAAGGCTCCTTATCTTCTCCCTGTTTCAGTGCCCTTTGTGGTGAGCATACAGGTTTCCTACTTCCTTATTGAGCTGGCATTTTGTCAGACATCCTCACCTGTGCCTGGTAGCATTAAAGTCAATGATTTTCAATAAGAGAGAAGAGGGGAGCAGTTTTACCCAGGTGGACATTTGGCAGTGTCTGGAGACACTTTTAGTTGTCACATGAGGAAGTCTATTACTACTGGAATCTAGTGGGTAGAGGTGAACAGTGCTGTTAAACCTCCTACAATGTACAGGACAGCCCCCAGCAACAAAGAATTATGTGGTCTGTAATGTCACTGGTGTTGACTTTGAGAAATCCTGATCTTGGAGAGAGAAGACCTTATGTTAATTCTAAAAGTAGGTTTTTTCGTGTGTGGGTAAGCCTATTCCTTTATAGGGACTAGTTTAATAGTAAGTATATGGTTCATTCTAAGCCAACAGAACATGAGAAGTTGCTGGAGATTTCTGAATAGTTCCTTTCCTCTGACATTGTCAGGTGAGGGTGTGAACCTTGACCCATCTCCCCACCAGCCCTGGGAGTAAAACAGAGCTGAGGGAATGGCAGAGGAATGGACAAGAGCCACTGGACTCCATCAGTCCTGAGGCCTACCCTCTGTTCAACTTCTAGGCATAGGAGCTTCTTTACTCTTTAAGCAGGTTTGACATATATTTGTTGTGGTTGTTATTGTCATTTGCAGCCACCTAAATCTTAATGATACGTCTTTACTCCTTTTGGTCCCTCATTTATTTCTGCTTGTCATCTGAAGGGTGCTTCTAGCTCTTATCTAACTTTCAGAAGCTCCCAGTCGTTGGACAATGATCTGCTTTGAGTTTCAACTCTGTGGATTTATGCTTTGATGTTCAAGAGACCTTCTGAACGTGGAATTCCTTTAATTATTTTTGCAGTAATAAAATGACACCACTTATACAATAAAGAATAACAGACTATCTATTTAGAGGGTATCTATTGGGATCCAACCAATTGGATTTAGGCCTAAGCTCAACAAGTCCTAAAATAATAGCAAAGCCTGGGGAGAATTGTAGAAAAAAAAAAGATGTGATCCAGCAAGAAGATAAATTCACCAAAATATTTTATAAATAAAAGGAAAGTAGCACTTAGCACTTTAAAGCCATGAGAGCAGGTGTTCTTTTACAGTCTCTTATATTTGCAGCTTAATGTTTATTAAAACAAAGTGCCTGGTGGCTGGAAAAATAGACATGCTGATTTTAAGGAAGACAAATGTAAGGAAAAAAGCAAGTCCAGAAAAGGGAGAAACATCCTGCTGGGTTGGTGGGGGGAGTTAGTGTCTTTCTAAGATTCTGTGAACTCAGTTAAGTGTGGAAAACACAGAACTAAACATCTGCTACATGTGTCTTAAAAATCAAGTGCTACTTCATCATCCCCGTTTCAAATTCTCACTCTGTGTCAAACAGCTTATGAGTAATTTAAGTCAATTTTGGTTTTCCAAAAATTAGTACATTTAAAATTTTAAGTTTTAATAAAAGATCAAGCAATTGAATTCCTTTGTGGATATTCTTGGAGTGGAGGAAAGAAAGGGTAGAGGACAGTGGTCAGATATTTATTTATTTACAAAGTTATTATATTCTTCATTATGCTTGATAGCCTCAAATATTTCAGTTTTCTAGCTACTTACACCAAACAAACAACAAAAGTTTCTATCTCAATTTGGGAAAAGTAAACTGTATGAGACTTGACACAAGAAATTCTTAACTATTATTCCCAAATCAGGTTTGGGTAAATTAGATATGAATAGTTATGTCCTAGAAAAGATTAAACTTTTAAAAAAGGAAAATGACTGACAAGTGGTCTGTGGGTAATTACAAGGGACACTGAAAGTAAAGTGTGTGCTATACCAGCAATTGCCCACTGAAACACTGGGTCTCAAAACCTCTGCCTTCTGTAGAGAGACTGCAGAGATGATTACTCTGGGATAGAGATCAAGGGAAAGATCGTAAATTGCAGACTCAAAAGATGCACCAAAAAGGATGTTACCACTACTCAGTATCATTCTGTATTAAAGCCAGAGTTTTTCTTACCATCATTGGAACCAAAGCTTCCATCAACGGATTTCCTCTGAAACCTGCGAATAAGCACATATACATGCTCCTGAAGACAGTGGAAACCTCAGCATTTTACATTTGTTTCTTGTACACTTTATTGCCAATTTGTTTTGGATGTGGAGATATTGGACCCATGACACATTATTGGTAAGCACATAAAATAGTGCAGTCACTTTGGAAAACAACTGGCAGTTCCTCAAAAAGTTAAACATAGTGTTACCCTATCAGCCAAAAAATCCATTCCCAGCCATCCACGTCATTCATTCATTAATGCATTTCTTTATTCATTTCAGATACAACTCACATACCGTAAAATTCACTCTTTAAAGTACACAACTAATGAGTTTTGGTATGTTCACAAAGTTGTACAACAGTTACCACTATCTAATTCTAGAATATTTTCATCACCCCCAAAAGAAACCCTGGATCCATTGGCAGTCACTCCTTTCTCTTTTCTTCCTCCAGTCCCTGGCAATCCCTAATCTACTTTCTGTGTATAAATTATCCTATTACTGACACTTTATATAAATTAGAATCATGTTGCATGACTTAGCATAATGTTTTCAAGGTTTATTTATGTCATTGCACGTATCAGTACTTTAGTCTTTTATGGTTGAATAATATTCCATTATATGTATATACGGCATTTCATTTATTTGTTTTCACTTGATTGACATTTTTGTTATTTCTATTTGTTGACTATCATGAATAACACTGCTATGAAAAGTTACATACACATTTTTCTGTGAGTATATATGTATGAAGACATGTATTTCCCTTATTAATATATATAAGCATATATATCCCATTCAAATTTGAGATTTTCTTGTTTTTGCCTCTGGAAGAAGTGAGATTACTGGCATGAACCAGCACATGTGGCTAGTATTTTATTATTTTTGATGTTTTGTGAGTGGAATTGTTCTCATAATTTTATTTTTGTATTGTTCATTGCAAGCATATGGAAATAGAACTGATTTTTACATATCAATCTTGTATCTTGCAATCTTGGTGAACCCAGGGTTTCTTTTGGAGTAATGAAAATATTAGATATTCAGTAGTGATGATGGTACAACAGTGAGTAAACTAAAAATCCCTAAATTGTATACTTTAAAGGGATGAATTTTATAACTTGATGAATTTTATCTCAATAAAACTGTTTTTTCCAGATGTAATATTTGGGAATATAATAAAAATTAAAATGTGAATTACCCTCTTCTAATATGAGCTTTCTTTTTGGATGTGAGGTTGGAGGGGTGACAGGATAAAAGTTGGGGGCCAAAGAGGAAAAATATTCTTATTTACTTCCAGATGAAGATTCTAGAAGTTATACCCTTGATCATGGTATGTTTGGTGGAGGAACTTCTCTGTTGTTCTCAATCACACCAACCTCATCCCTGCCTCAGGTCTTTGCTCTTGCTCTTTCCACTCTCTTCCCAGAGCTGGCTCCTTTTTACCATTCAGGTTGGAGTTTATTAGGCCTTCCCTGCTGATCAAATCAAAAGTGGTATCCCCAATTTAACCATCCCATGGCTCACTGCTGAGTTTATTTTCTCCCAATCACTAGCTGGAGTTAATTTCTTTATTAATTGCTTACTTGCTTGTATGTTTTGCCCCTCTACAATGGAAACTCCAATAGGGTTAGACTGCAGGAGGATGAGAAACCAAATGTAGCCAATGGCCAGTCTAGAAGAGCCAGTTTCTAGATGACCTGTCAGCAGGTCTCTGTGATGTGTCTAGCTGTGATCTCTGAGCCCAGTCCAGATTAGCAGAGTCATCTCAACCCCTAGATTTGTGAACAGATATAAATATTCATTGCTGTATGCCACTGGAGTTTTTGTGGCAGTTTTTTTTTTTAAGCAACATTATTGTGGCAATGGATAACTAGTAAAAGAATCAAAGGGAAACTCAGGTTTGGGCAGGTGGACTTAATGTGTGGCAGGGTGGTTTAGAAGAAAACCAAGAGAACACATATGCAGTGCTTGGCCTCAGTCCTGCACATTCATTGTAAGGGGTTTGATAAATGTGTGTTGAATGGGTTGGGGTTGAGGGGTGGGAAGGAAATGGTGTTTAAGTGCGATTACAGCATCTTTATTATTAAGTGCTAATACAGCACTGAAGACTCTCAGCTTCTTGAGGGCAAGGGCCATGTCTTCTATAAATATTTATAATCTTGAACTCATAGCATTACTACAAATCCCACATGTGTTAATAATGAGATAGAGAGGACTCACCAAGTAAATGACATTATGTTGAAAAGACTGGCTTCATATGGTTTTGTAGAAAACTTTGCTTAGTTCGATGAAGGAAGAATTCTCTTATTAGCATTTCCCCTCAGTGTGTTCCCCTGTTTAGAATGCCAGATGGTGCTTGTGTCTTCAGATTTCCATTTTCAATTTGTCTATACTTGGAAAGAATCTATGCTTGTGTATTTGACTGTAGGTAAATAGTCTGCACCTAGAAGTTTCAACAGAGCCTTAAACCACAATTTTCAAAAACTGTGTTTACTTCGGTTGGCTGAATAACAGCTTTAGAAAGATTGATAACTGGCTAGCCACTAACTTAATTTTTTATCTGTTTGTGTATTGGTTGTACATAGTAGCTGACTAAAGAGAAGTAATTCTGTTTTCTAAGATCTGACTCACAGGAGAGGAGACAGTCCTCCTAAGTGAGGCAGAAGACAGGAACTTCCTTGCCATGACACTGGAGCTCATCTGAGGCAAAACTGGAAATGTTTGGTCACTTTTTCAGTTGTATGCTGGCTCAGATACCAAGCTTTTGGTCAGCCTTCCTTGGTCAGGGCTGTCTTGCCTCACAAGGCCTGCCCACTCGAGACCCATCTTCGCAGCCTGCCTAAGACTTAAGTATCAGGAGTCAGGTTTGACAGTTCAAATCCTAGCTCCTTCATTTATCGGCTGTTAAATTCTTGGTGAAATTGCTTAACTTCTCTCTGCCTTAATTTCCTTAACCATCACACACTGATAATAAGAGTAGCCTGCTCTTGGGGCATCGGATGAGATAATCTACTTGGAGGGCTCAGCACACTGCCTGGCCCAGAGCAGGTACTTGTCGATGTTAGTGGCTATGATAAATTGAGTTGATATCAGTTCACGTGCATACTCTCCAGATATAAGATTCTCCTATAGCCTGAGGGTTTTTTTAACTTTACTTGAAAATAATTTCAAATTACAGAGAATTTAAAGAATAATAACAGAATATACAGCATCTACCTACCCTTACCTATGTTCACTTAGTTGCTTTGCTTTTATTCTTCTTTCTGTGTTTCTCCAAAGATATTCTGTACAATTTTAAATTAAAGTAGTTGCATATGTCATACTTTTATCTCTAAATGTTTCCAAAGGTAAAGCTATTCTCTTACATAACTACAATGCCATTATCAAATCCAGCAAATTTAACATTGACATGATACCTTTATCTAACCTACTGTTAGATTCTGACTGACCCAATAATATCCTTTATAACAAGATCGATCTGAGATCAAGTATTGTCTTTAGTTGCCATATCTACTTATTTTCCTCTAATTTGAGACACTTGCATATCATTTGTCTTTTATGATTTATTTTATGTCTATTTTTTCCCTATGATTAGATTCAAAATAAGCACTTATAGCATGCTGTGTAAGTGATGCTGTATCCTTCTCCGAGTGTCAAGTTTGGAGGCACATGATGTCCACATTTCCCTTGGTGGTATTAATTTTGATCACCCAGTCAATGCATTTCCTTACAACTACTAAAACATTTGTGAAGGGTGTTTAGGTCCTTCTTTTACTTTATGCATATGGACTCATGGATTTCTATTTTTTAATGGCTTATAATCCATCATTTTTAACTATTATGGTCTTCACAGTCTCTTAGATTTGGCTAGTGGTGGTCCTGGGGTATTTCTGAAGGTGCCATCTCAACTCAAAAGCTTCACAGAGGTCACAGAAGGGAGTAAGATTTTGAGTCAGAGAAGGGCCTGTGTCACTCCGATTGCTCTATCACTGAGGCAGCAGAGATATCTTTCTATAGACAAGGGTTCATTTTGCCTAATGGTCCCAAACTCTGTGCTGACTTTGCTTTCTTTAGAAGTTCAAGAGGAGAAGGAACATTTGTTTATTGTAAGCCTCCTGCCATTCTTTTGTAGTTGTTTCACAGAGAGTACAACAAAGACTGAATCCACAAGGCTCAGCCTGCTGAGAGAGGCAAGGAAAGATTGGGTTTTTTTTAATTAGGGGCTCCAAATTCTTAGCAAGGGACATCTCCTTGGTCAAATTACAACACAATTGCTCCCTCTCCCCACCTCCAGGGATATTTTACTGAAATACTGATGTTACAGGTAGAAAAACAACTGGTAAAAGGTATCAAAGTGTGTTACTCTTGTTATTTATTAACCTCAAGATATATTTTAGGCATTAAATTTACCTTTTTTTTGTAGTACTGGGCTTAAACTCAGGGCTTATACCTTGAGTCACTCCACCAGCTCTATTTTTTGAGATAGGGTCTCACAAACTATTTGCCTAGGCTGGCTTCAAACCGCAATTCTCCTGATCTCTGCCTCCTGAGTAGCTAGGATTATAGGCATGAGCCACCAGAACCCGGACAAATTTATTTTTTGATAGAATGTTTAAAGCTGTTTCCAAATATCCATCTTAGAAAGAACTAATCATTTCCTACATTCTGTAGGATTTACACTGAGCTTTTTCTGACTTCAAAAATAGACAAATTGCTTTGTTGAGGTTTCATTGTATTTTTATTATAATGAAAACAGCCAACTTTCTACCAGCACTGGTTTTGTGCATGGCCTTGACATAAACACTGCAAATTATGCTATTATTATCTTCCTTTACAGATGAGAAACCAAAAGCACAGGAGGTTAATTAACTCGCCCAAGACCACACAATCAGTGGCTGAGGTAGCTTTGCTCAAAGCATTATACAGAGGTAGGCAAAGAGGGCCAACCGTTTTTGGAGCTCTGACCTACCTCACATAATGAACAAACACAACAAACAGGCATCCCAGGTAGAAGGACAAGAAGATGAAGACACTGAAGACACTGGATTTCACATAAACGGATTCTGAGGAGAGAAAAATAACTTTGAACTTTGGCCAGGTTGTCCTGTTTAAAGGGGCCATACTACCTCCATCATACCCACTCTCTTTTTCTCTCTCTCTCTTCCCCTCTCTCTCTTTCGCTCCCCCTCCCTCCATCTCTCTCTCCCCTCTTTCTCTCTCTCTTCTCTTTCTTTTTCTTTTCCTTCCTTCTTTCAGTGCTAGGGATGGAACCCAAGACCAAGTGCTCTACCACAGTCGTACACCTAAGTCCTCTCCTTTCTTTTTGACAGGGATTTAGCAAAGTATTCCCGATTCCCTTTTCTGTCTCTAAGGCAAATATACTTTAGTTTTCTTATGAATCCTTCTGAGAGGATGACATTAGTATTGAATTATATGAGAGATTTCTTGACATAAGAATCTCTCCATCACATTCTAGAGCCAACACTGACCTTTAATGGAAGGAACTATGGTCACTTTAAGGTTCTTTGTTCGTTGTAGATTCCAGGTCTGGTTCTCCTTTTCTGGTAAAAATGAAACAACAATAGCAACAAAAACAAGGCACAATGGGCTAGATACTAGATTCGCATCCTCTCTTCTGAACAGCTGTACAAAAATGTCTAGAATCAACTATGGATACTGAACAAGAGCTAAAGGAAAAATCTCACTTTTAAACCTCAAATGATCTAATATCCTTTTTGGTCAGGACTCTCAATTTGGCCTTTGCTTGGTTGCATTTTGGTAGCACTAACTAATGTGTTAATGAAATGAGACTGAAGCTTTCCTTCTTCATTGAAGAAGGATTTGACCTTTCCTCCCATACCCACAGACATCTGAAGAGAAAGCTGCAGAAGTAGAAAGCTATCTTTTCCTTCAGTCTGCATTGTTTTCTAGCCAGTGAAAAGTTGTTTTTTCCTTATACAGTCACCAAAGGGCTCATAGTTTATCAAGGAACATTAGACAATGGTAAAACTTCAGAGCAACACAGCACATTAACAGAAACTTCACCTAAACACCAAGGGGACCTTGCTATACATGTGATAAACACCCTTTGTGTTGATGGGGTATATCTCATTATCAGAGGACCTATGTATTGAATCAACAGCTGATTCTGTTCCCAAGGCAGTGCTGGGTAGTTACACACAGCTATCTGCATACGACTAAGAGTTGATATAACCTCTTATCATTAGAATAAGGTGTCACACTTGACTTTCTTACTATCTTACAAGGTACAATACTGGCAAGTGGAATGGCGAACTTAAATTTTCCTTATACATTCTTATGGAAATGATGGCTACTGATAAATATAAGTGGCTCCATCATAGGAAACTGATTATAGGATATAGGACTTTTTCCATCGTGTAAGATCTTTACTTCATTTTAAGGGAGTGGGTGCCAGTATGTGTGGGAGGGCATAAGGAAAGGATGAAAGAGGGTGAATATGGTGAATACATTTTGTATTTGTGTATGAAAACAGAACAATGAAACCTGCTGAAGTTGTTTTAAGAAGGAGGGAGGGAGAGGAGGGATCAATAGAGGAGGTAAATCTAATTAAGATGTATTGTAAGCACATATATAAATATCACTATGCATCTCCTGTACAACTATTATATACTAATGATTTAAAAAAATCTCTACTTCACAGCAGCAAATATTTGTTGAATAAAGGGCCAACTTTACAGTGAACTGACTATATATGATCTGAGGGAGTATAAGACTTAAAACAGTTGAAATGTTCTAAATGACTTTTTGTAGTGTCAATTGTTTTCTTCTTTTCTCAAGTATCTCTCAGGACTGCCTTTCCAAGTCACTGCTGATGGACCCTTAGTAAGAACTAGAGATGCGTTTTTGGCTTTACTTTCCCTCTCTTCCAAGTATTCCTCACTTTGTCTTACCCTGGATGAAGAATGATCCTCCGCAGGCATAATCTTCAGGTTTTATCACAAACACCACAAAGAACTGTTCATCTGGAAAATCCTTCTTCTGTGTAAGACATAACAACCTTATGACAGGCAGGTAAAAAAGGCAGCAAGAAGAAAGTACTTGGGGGTGGGAGGCAGAAAGAAAGAGGAAAGAGAAGACGAGTTCACCCCCGCCCTCTAACTCCTTAGAAAAAACTTTTACATTCCCATGTTCTACTCCAGATTATCTACAATAATTGTTACATTTAGGAAATTAAATAGATACACTGTTATGATTTCAATTCATTCTGTGTCCATTTGAGTGCTAAGAACTATAAATGGGTATCATACAAATAATAAGGTCAATGGTATATATTTATTGGTTAACAATCATATATTATTTTTATTTTAAAATCAAATAATAAATAACTTTCCTAAAAGTCATGTAGTCAGCAATTAAATAAGTAATGCAGGTTAGGGAGGCAAAGTACTCAAGTGAGGAGACCCGAGTTGTGATCCTGATTTTGACATTCTGTGTCTTCTCTGAGTCCCAGTTTCCTCAATGAAGTCGGGAGCTACATTATAGTTCTCTGGCATTTTTTAAATCATCCCCAAATATCTGGCATTATGTTTAACTCACTAAGAAAATGTTTTAGGACTAAAGCATGGCCCAAAAGAGAAGTACTAATTTATTGCCAAATACATCCATGGTAGACAGGAGCTGTGTGCTTTTACGTCATTGGTTGTGTCCCAGATGATGTAAAATCTGAAGTTCCTTACTGTGGTTATTTTTCTGCTTTTTTTGAGACCACATAATTCTGAGATGCTGAGGAAGTAATAAACACTAATAACAAGAGTAGATATTTGGCATATAAAATCTGAGACCTTCACAAATTAAAGTATGACTGATAGAAGTTTTTAGGTCATTAATTGTCTTCATTCTTTGCTTGTCATTCACTGAATGATATTAACTTACCTGGAGAACAGATCAAGTCACAGGTTGCTTAAGTGTCAACCCAAAAGCAGGGGCAGACTCTGAATATCTCTCTCTCTATATTTGATATAAATTACCATTGAAATAATAATTAAAAATATCAAAGGAATAAATTGTTGCACAAATATGGCTCATATTCCTTTGAACCTATCATTCTGTCTAGAGTTAAAGTCATCTTTTTGTTGCTCTTACTGATACAATTTATTAGGATATGTTTAATTTCTATAAATGGATCTGATAAACTTCAGTCTAAATTACCACTCATCAATGAGTAGATTAGAATATTCTGATTTTATCTCCCTAAGCAACCTGTAAGGTATATATCTATTGCACCAAGGGTTCCCAAAAATCTCTATGAGGATAAGAACACCTGGCAGAATAACACTGTTCACCATAAGCCAGGCTTTGATTTCAGACACAGCTGTCTTAGTTTTTAAACCAATCAGGAAAGAAAGAGATCCAAGTTACACAGTGGATTGCCATCTCTTTTGAATGCTGGTCCAGTAGGTAAACTGTCTACAAACTGAACATTGTCATTCACAATAACAACCATAGAAGCAATGTCTTACCTGTAGTGTGATGGCAGCTTTCTTGGTCATGGACTGATAGACACCATTAAATTCCACATTGTGGTCAAGATCATACACTGGGCACTAGAGCATGCATAAGGAATAAAAAAGGAAAGCATTACTAATGTCATACCACACATAGGTCCTGTCAGGGCCTTTCCAAGTGGATCACAGAGCAGGAGAGTCTAAGCAAGAAACCATGAAGTTTTCTGCAGAATGGTCATGAAATGATCCTTTAAAAACTTGGTGCCTTGTCCTCTAAAGTCAAGGTCATTTTATATTGGTAAGAACTATGCAAAGATGGTCTTAAAGCATATAATACCTTCCCTATTTTTTGTTAACATCTTGTGAGACAGAAAGGTCCTATTGTTACAATAAAAAAATTAAAAACAGAACAAATGATAGGCTTCTATTTTATTTTTTTCATGAAACCCAGAAATTGCTCTTCTTTGTCATGATCCATCCTCTTCCCCTCCTTCTTTCTTTTATTTTTGTGAGATGTCAACCCTTCTTTATCCCTCTAAGTTAATGTCTTCAAACATGGACTGCCCACTGATGTGCACAAGATGCTGTTTTTATAATTTAGTAGTTTTGGGGGAGATACATGGTAAGAGGATGGCATGGTCCCCCCTCTTCTCTTTCATTTATTCTGGGATTAATATTACACATTAGAATGTTGACAAGTCTCAGGACTCACCATTATGTTCTGGACTGAGACTACAGAACATGGATAAGCCATTTCAGACACCACTTTAATGATAACTGAGTCCACATCTTTGGGAAATTTGTATAGAAAATACTAAAAATGAGAAAAAGGAAAGACATGGTTTATTAAAATTAAGAAATGTTAACAGTTATGAACTCAAACTATTTTCACACGAATGAGATTATTTTCTCTACTGTTAGGCACAAAGTTCAGATGCAAATCTCAATGAATCTTCATTATTTCAGTCAGTCATTCATCTCATACATATTGAACAACTAACTGCTCTAGAGCTCTGTGCCAGACATTTGGAAGACAGCAGTGAGTAGGACAAAATAGCCATTATGCACACAATGGTGCTGTTTCATTTTATGGTATGACAATTACTTTTTTAACTAAACTTTACTATGCTTCATTCCATTTTCTACATAAGAAGCTTCCTCTCTTACTGCCCCAACCCCTACACTGTTTTCATTTAGGGATATGCAGGCTGTAATAAGAAAGGAGATTTATTTCTGTGTGGTCATTACGAAACATGAAACTCTACTCTGAAGAGCAGATAAACCTGTTCTTTAAGAATTTTGATCACCTTCCTATAGGAAAGACCAATCCTTCCTCTAGACCTTTTGCTGAAGAATCTATTTCCTGGATGGAATATTTTGTTTCAAAGACTAAACCCTACATCTGGGGTAAGCTAAGGCATCTTTTAAAGTGCTTCTCAAATATAACAAAATCAGAAAACATTTCTAATAGAAGTGGGGTTATACTATTTACCTAGCTATATTATGAATCCATGGGGAAAATGTATTACTTCTTTAAGTTTTAAACATAAAATGAGGAAGAAAGGGGAATTCTAAATGTTACAACAGGATGAGAAGCTATGTCAAGTTTATGGTTAAGATTTTAAGGAAACCAACACGAACAAGTCTGATATCCTAGGACTCTAACAAATCTATCACTTTAAAAGATAGGCAAAACGTGAAAATTTAATCTTGTATTTCAACACCCCCTCTATTAACCCTTTCTTGAGAACTAGTGCAATAAAAATAGATTTAAAAAAATAATCTAAAGGTTTCTAATGGGGAAAGATTAAGGCGTATCCATCAATGCTGCTGTCTGGGAGTCCCTCCATGCCTTGTAACAAGTAGCAATACCCCCAAGAGCTCACTTCAGTTTGGAGTTTGATTCAAGTATGTATGATACAGGCTCTTCAAAAAGTGAGGCACCTGGAGGTTCCAATGGGTGCTTTTGGTTCTTAGGGGATCCTTACTTTGTAATTCAAGAGCATTACCATCATTACTGTTAGTGATGATGAGCATCATATATGTTCCTAGAGATGGTAGTAACTAGTCTTGTGCAAGCAATCGGCACTTACAGAAGCCTTATCAACATGCCAAAGCATTATCAAGCTTGTTTATCTCTTTTATTAGAAAGAAGCAAATGGAAGTACCCAAAGCAATGGCTGGAATTTAGGTGAAAAAATCACCATGTTAGTCCTGACTACCTGCCCAGTTTCTGAATCTAGTCAGTTCTGCAACAGAGGCTGATAATGACTGTTGCAGGTTGCCTGAGGATGTGCACTCCTTTGGTTGAGTTTATAGGAACAAAAAAATCTTTCCTGGGCTGGAGGTGTGATTCAAAAAACAGAGTGCTGAGTTCAAACCCTAGTAACACCAAAAAAAAAAAAAAAAAGGAATAAAAAAAGAAAAATCTTTCTTGTAATCAGAGGATGGAAAATACAGGCCAAAATGGAAACAGTGAAGAGGAAAGTAAGACTTTCACAGATAACAAGGACTATGTTTAATAGTTCTAATTACATTTCACTCTAGTTTGGAATTTATATACAAATTATGCTTTAACATTTGTAAACTTTTTAAAATAAAAAGGAGCCATAATATACATTGTCACTGGTTTTCAGTTTATAAGCACCCCTCTTAATGAATAATACAATTCAGCATATCATATTCAGTGTATCATATTTATTACCCTCAGTATTTAGTATATCATATTTATTCATTCAGTATATCATATTTAGTATATAATAGTTATTTAGTATATTATATTTATTATGATATCCTATATGGATCATTCAGCATATCACATTTATTATAGCTCTCTGTACAAGACTTCTAGACTTGTACTCTTTCTGTAGTTAGAGTACAGGTTGTTCCCCTTTTTTCTAGATATCTCCCATTGCACCTAGTAGTTAGTGTGTTCTAAATAGGACTTGAACTTAAATGATCACTTAATTCACTTAAATGGTGAAAAAATGGTTGAGGGCAGCAAGTTGTGGTATGGCCCTTTCCTGACACTGAATGGCAGTATAGATGTGGTACAGACACTTTCATTGAAAGGGGGAAGTTTAACTCTTAAAAGATATGTTGGGGGCTCAGATGTAGCTCAATATAGCACTTGCCTAGTGCTCTGGATTTGATTTCTAGCACTGAAAAACAAGAGGGAATATGTTCACACAAGTCTGGGAGAGTTGATTTACATATTTCTTCCCAACTCTATGTTCAATGTCATCACTTTGGCAGCTTGAAATTAGCCATGATGAAGATAGTTACACCCAGGGAATGGGCAGAAACTACAAATCAGTGCTTCCTAAGGACCAATTATTAAATATGCAGACTACAGGCATTCCACACCTAGCTTTTCCCGTTCCTTCTTTATGACAGGGAAAACTAATGTATTTCGCAAATAATATTGTAAAATTTTTAAATCGTGTTATTTTTATTGTATTTTCAGAACAGTTATTTGTATATCTATTTGGTGTCACCCTTTCATTCCCTGTCTCCCATCCCATCTCAACTATCAGAACCATAATGACAGAAGTTGTGTCTTTCTCTTCCTCATCCTTTTGTCCCCAGCACTTAGTACAGTTTAACACTGTGCTTGGGACATAGTAGACACATGATTTTGTTCAATAACAAAATTTTTTCTTTGTGCCAAAGAACACCTGAAAGCAAATGTCATGCCTCCTATTTCCAACCATTTAAGGTAGTAAGATTAATAAAAATTTGTTTAAAGTTTTAAAAAGTGGTAAGATTAAATGTGTCAAAAATCTCAGCAACATGAGTAACAATTCAGAATACAAACATAGGTCAAACTGTGAAAGATCAAGGCAACAGCACATGCTGACTCTCCTTGTTTCATGATTTCTGTTACCATGGGCTCCCAATAACTCTTGGAATCTTCACTTACCTGAGGTTGCGAGGGGCTGGCAGTGAAGTGAAAGGCAATATTTGTCCTGAGAAATGTAAGTGGGAAAAGTGAGAGAAAAGCATGAGTTAGCAGGCAAAAATAATTTATTTAAAAGGAAGCCATCTTCAACTAGATGTACGATAACCTTACCTTTTGTGATGGGAGTTTGGTTTCATCGAACTGATACACTTTGCAGGGACTTGGGGGTTCAACTCTCAAAAATGATGAGATTAGGGAAAAAGATTTTTTATATATTTAAATATCCATGAAGCCATACCAGTATAAGTAAGTACTTCATTTACTTTTATGGACACTTTTGCTTTGGACTCACTTCAGATTTTAGAATCAAGCACAGGATATAGGGATGAAAAGTGGGCTGTGAAAGAGGAAATGCAGGTATGAGGTCCTTTTGTATAATGTAGGTACCACTTCAAAATAACTTTGATGGATCCATTGGCAAAAAACTGTTTAAAAAATGGTGAATAGGTGATCACCATGGGATAGTCCCTAGAGGTAGGAGTATGTTCTTCTCCCCAAGTGCCTGAAACACTTGCTGAAATTCTTCAAGATTGTGTCCTTTTTGACTTAGGCATTACCTTCTAAGGCCCATCCTTAAAATTTAAAGACCACCAAAATAACACAATGAAGTTATTTGCTTTCCAAGTAGAAATTTACTGCGAATTGTTTTATTAGATACTTAAAACAGCACTGATCCAGGCACCGAGGAAAGCAGAGTGTGAGAAGTATGTAGGAAGCACAAATATGTGGCATAGAGTGCTGTGTGGAGTGAACTTCTATGAAACAGTTCAAGAGGCTGGAAAACACAAAGATGAGTGTGTTCTCTATAGCTTTGTAAGGGCTGCTTTTGGGCTTTTGCTCTTTTTGTCTCTTGCCTCATTATCTTGGTCTTGTAGATCACTCACACAAGTCTACTGCACCCTCAGTTTTCCAGTCTGCTGAGACACCACCTTGGGAGTGGTGGCATGCCCCTACTCTTCCAATGGGCATCCCTCCCTACATTGCTGGGAGTCAGAACCTGAACTTCAGGATACCTTATCATCTTCATTCTATA